TATATATATATATATATATTAATCTACTTATTATATAAATGTTCCATGCTTTATTTTAGCTAATCACGAAAGCAAGAAATACCACATGGTAGAATTTGAGGATGGCCTGAGTATAACACCAAGAAATTGGATTAATTTCTCAAATAAAAACGGCTCTCTGGCCGCGATTCAAGTATGATCTTGCTTTCGATAAGGCTGTGGAGAAAATGGAGAAGGTTAGGAGCCTGCCCCATTTTATCCATTAAAAAAAATAGTGACTTCTTGTGAGTGAGTGAGTTCAAATTAACATTTTAAATAAATATCATGATGATGATCAATCTATTACATAGATACATATATAATTATATAGAGGATGATGGGAAAGCTAGAAAGCGGCAAAAGGAAGCTGGTAATGCATTCAGATGTTGGTTCTGAGTACGAAACAACTCAGCAGAGGAGAGATAGGGCGAAGGTATCATCGCATGGTATTTGAAATATATTTTTTTTATAATGCTGACATTTCACGCTGCTGCTAGCTTATTTACCGCCGGCGCCTCCATCTGTTTCGAAAGCAGGCCTAAGCAAAAAGGGTCAAGATTTTAACAATGGTAATTAAGCTTTTTGTACACTGCATGGTATTTGAAATGTTAAGTTACAAGTACAAATATTTTTTTTAATTCTGACATTTTCACCCTAATAGCTTATCTACCACCTGTGCCATCTTCTTACAAAAGCAGGCAGCAGCAGACAAATTGGAAGGAACAAAGATAACATTGGGCGTAAGCTTTTTGTATACTGCATGGTATTTGAAATATTATGTTACTAGTACAAATATAATTTTAAATTGCTGGCATTTCTACCCTGCTAGATTCAATTGGCGTAGATATTTTTGTCAGGGAGATAACTAAGATGCGATTAACCATGGTGGGTGTTGTGGAGCACATGAAGGAAATGATGTTGAGAATGGATTCGTACCAGTCTCCTAAGGCTGTCATGAGTAGTGACATGGGCCAGATCAAGGAAGTTTTAAAAATTGTTCCACTATGTCCAATGGACGAACTTCAAAATGTGGAGGATAGTCTAAGAAACAGGATGTGAAAATACAACTGGTAATCACAAGTTCGCGTAAATGTATTTTCATTAGTTAGCTTTATTATAAACTAACTTTATTTTTAGATTTTGTATTTGGCTAGGACAGGTGGCAAAAATGCCAAATCTGTCACAGTACAGTTGTTAAAATTAATATTTGATGATGGCTTGGATAGAGAGAAAACGCAAATATTGCGAGCTTGTGCTGTGCGAAGTCATCACTGGTAATTTATAATTCTTATGTTTATGATATGTGTAATTATGAATAAAACTTACATATAAATAATTTCAGAAACTGTTGTAAAGAACTTACCCAATGAGACTAAGTTTGCCATCTCAGAGGCTATAAAAAGCTGGCTGAGGCATGCCAGTGAACGCTATACAAGGTATTTTTGTGAGATGTGTATTATTAATTATATATATATATATATATATACTATATATATATGTTATATATATATATATATATATGTATAAATTGTTGAATCAAATATATCGAACGGGTGAATGGCCAAAGGACTTTTGGATGTCACGATGCTCTCAGAAAAGCCTAAAGCGAAATAATGCAGCGACCACAGGACTATCAGTTTAACTTCGCACACCGGAAAGGTTCTGGCCAAAAATCTTACGAGGCGACTCGAAAATAAGATTGAGCAGCACATGAGCGAAGACCAGTTTGGTTTCAGAACAGGAAGAGGCACCAGGGACACTATTGGAATACTGAGAATAATGTCGGACAGTTGTCTCGACGTTAACGAGGTCATATGCTTCTGTTTTATAGATTGGCAGAAGCTTTTGACAGAGTCAACTTGAGTATGCTAATGGAAATTTTAAAATCTATTAACGTCGATTGGAGGGATCGCAGGCTGATCCAGAAAGATACAAACAGCGTTGAAATAGGCAGAGGAGTGCGGCAAGGATGCTGTATGTCACCGATCTATTCAACCTGTACGGAGAATGGCTCGTCAACGAGGCACTTGAGGGGGCAGGAGATTTTTCGATTGGAGGAGAAGAAGAATCACCACCATGAATTACGTGATGATCTAGTAGTGATATCGAAAAACCAAACCAAGCTACAAAACATGATGAACCGAATTGTCGAAGTGGGTAGAAGATACGGAATGGAAATCAACATAGACAAGTCGAAAGTGATGAGAATCACAAAAAAAAATAACCTCCTGAGGATAACAGTAGAAAAAACGAGAATTGGAAGACGTGGATCACTTCAAATACCTGGGTAGCACACTAACCAGAGACGGATACTGCACGAAAGAGATCAGGACAAGGATCGCAAGCGCCAAGGCGGCATTCACAAAGAAGAGAACGCTACTAACGAGCAAACTGAGTCTTGACTTACGGAAGAGACTAATAAAGTGCTACGTCTGGAGCATAGCTCTGTACGGATCTCTGAGAAAGGTCTTTGACATGGACTCTGAGAAAGGTCGATAAAAACACCTCGAGAGTTTTGAAATGTGGTGCTGGAGGCGAATGGAAAAGATAAAGTGGACAGACAAAGTAGCAAATGGAAGAAGTCCTGAGAAGAGTGGGCGAAGAAAGGACTACTGAGCACAATCTGAGAATGAAAGGAAAATGGATCAGACCTCTTTTGCAAAAAGAGTGCCTCCTACACGACGTCGTCGAGGGCAAAATAGAAGGAACAAAAGGAATGGGAAGGAGAAGAATGCAGACGATTAACCACTTACGCGGGAGAGAAGAAAATACAGGAAACTGAAAGCCGAAGTGCAGGATCAGGAAGCATGGAAACAGAAGTTTGGAAAGGAAAATACATGAAATAAAAAATGGGGATAGGGAATAGTGCTAATGGGATGAAGGGCAAGGAAATCATTTGTTGTGGTGGCTCTCACACCATGGACCTGCCTTCGGACGACTACCATTTTATTATTATTATTTTATATATATTAATATATATATATACGGTATATAATTAATTTTTTTTCTATTTCAGGAGAGGCAATCAACCATCGAGCAGGGACCGATTCCAAACTTATTATATTTTAATCTGGTTTTAATAAAATTTAAATGACATTGTTTATATTAAATTTCGTTATTTTGTAAGAAATTATTTCAGAATTTTAATAAAATTTACTTTGTAAAATTGTGTTCTCTTATTTTATTTTTAATCCAAATTTATTTTTCATCTAAAAAGTAGAACACAATCCGTAATTAAATCCCATTCATGTCCGGTTTATGTCCGGAATATTCCGCGCAGGATATCCTACAGAATGTCCCGTAGGTGCGACACATTAACATGTTTGGATAAAGTCAGGATAAGCCGGATACCCGTATGGTAGGCATGGACATACTGGGATCCAGTATGATAAAATTTCTCAAGAAAAATCTCTACTAATGTCACTGCTTCAGAGTCACGTGGAGAAACTTTATTTTCTGATCTAGCATCAAACGCAAATTTAGCTGAGAGTTCTTTACTTGCTATGATCCAAGTGTCCGAACCCAAGAAATGGTTGAAAAGTTAAACGATAAATGACTCAAAAAATCAAGTAGAAGAAGTTTATTTAAGAGAGTCATTTTTTATTTATTTATTTATTATTTATTTAATTATATAGCCCACAGATTTCTCCAAGAGGACTCAAAATACAATTATTATACATAATGAATAACAATTAAAATTTATACAAAATTAAAATATATAGTTAGTAACATAAAATGGTAAGATAAAATTGCATATAATGCAGAATGTAACAATAATATTTATAAACAGAATAAGAAAATAATGAGATATTTGAAAGAAAATAAAAAGATTAACTTGTGCAGATGGAGATTATTTGATTAGGTGAAGTGTTGTGAATGTCTATTTCATTATTAATTAAGTTAAAGTTAGAGGACATAAGTAAAATTGGCGAATTTAAGAGAGAATTAGATTTAGGGGTAGGATAATTGAAAAATAATTGTGAACGCGAAGATAGCCTTGGAACATTAAAGGATAGTTGGTTGAGAATAAGAAGACAGTCTATAAAATTATTGCAAAGCTTAAATAAGAACATAATTGTACAAATAAATCGACGTGAGGCAAGGGAAGGAACACCAAATTCTTTTAGTAAAGTATTGTGGTCAAAGCCACGTTCAGGGTAAATTTTATATGTTTTATAATAAAGGTATTTTAGAAATTTTCGCTGAACCTTCTCTATCGCATCAGAGTTGTTGATATGATGAGGATACCAAATAATCGAACCGTATTCTAATTTTGAACGTACAATAGAATAGTACATGCAAAGAAGTGCATTGGTAGACTTAAATTGTTTACAATTTCTTAGTATCAAACCTAAAGATTGATGTGCTCTATTACAAATATCAGTTACATGATCTGTGAAAAATAAACCAGAATCAAATAGAACACCTAAATCGGAAATTTTATTACATCTATCAATGCTGGTGTTAGAAATTTTATAATCAAAAAGTATTGGAACGTGCTTATGTGTAAAACTAAGAATCTTGCACTTAGATATATTTAGATGTAATTGTTATAGATACACCAAGATTGGAAAAGGTCAAGTTGAGACTGTAAATAAGCAGTCATCAATAGAATTTATTTTGAGATATAGTTTCAGATCATCTGCAATAATAAATGTGGACAGCTAATAGTATCAGAAATGTCATTAATAAAAATAATAAATAGTAGTGGATCAAGAATGGATCCCTGAGGAACTCCTGAACTAATATTTTCAATGTTGCTCAAGAATCCATTAAGATAGACAAACTGCTTGCGATTATGGAGATAACTCTTAAAAAGTGAATAAGTGAAGAATTAATACCAATCTTAGATAATTTAGTAAGAAGAATGTTATGATCAATTTTGTCAAAAGCTTTACTGAAATCAGTGTAAATAACGTCAACTTGTCCATTGTTGTCAAGATTCTCAGCTATATTTGTTTAATACAAATTAAATTTGTTATCGTAGAACGGGCAGGCATGAAACCATGTGATTAATAGAAATAAAGTTCTAACAGAATGAATTAGTTCTCTATAAATAATTTTTCAAATACCTTAGCAAAGTTTGATAATAATGATATCGGCCTGTAATTAGTAATGTTGATGTAACACCTTGTTTAAAGTTGGAACTAATCATGCAATTTCCAACAATTTGGAAAAGTGTTTGTACGCAAAGATAGATTAAATAAAAATGCAAGTGGATCAGATAGAGTAGATGAGCAATCACGTATAAAGAAAGATGGAATACCATCAAAACCAAATATTTTGGAGTTCTTAAAACTTGCTATTGCAAGTTGCACAGTACTAGAATCAATTTCACCTATATTAATCATGATTCTATCATTATGATCAAATACAATGGGTATGTCAAGTTTAGGCTGATAAACACTAATAAAGTAAGAATTAAATGCATCAACAATAGCATCAGGAGAATCATAATATTTGTCTAGATAGCACAATCTAATAGGAATAATATTAGAAGCAGTTTTATTTTTTAAAAAAGACCAGAAATATTTTGGATTAAGCGATAGAGAATTTTCAACGTCAATAATATACGAATTATAGGCATCTTTAATAAGTGTTTTTATTAATTTCCTGTACAATTTAAAATTTTCATAATAGAAAGTGATATTGGTTAACTTGTATTTGTTATGATAGTATTTCTTCATTCGGAGGTTTCTAATAATATCAGAATTAAACCAAGGCTTAAATTTATTGGAAGCAAATTTTTTTGTTTTAGGAACAAATTTATCTAATAAGCTATAGATTGTAGCGTAAAAAAGATCACATGCATCATTAATGTCAGAACATGTATACAAAGAACTCCACGATGTATTCAAAATTTCCCTGTAAAGATTAAGATAATCCGCTTTGTGGAAATTATAATGATAGTTATTTTTATTAAATTGCAAAGTATTGGGTGTGGAAAAAAAAGATGTAAGGGAAACAGAAATATAAAGAGCAGGATGATAATTGTCCTCAGGTAAAAGGGGTTCGGTATCATGAATTATGTTGCAAAAGTAAGAACAAAACACTAAATCCAACAATCTGCCACTGATATTGATAACAGAATTATATTGGTTGAGACCAGATAAATTAATAAAATTATAGATAAAGTTACATTTTGCATTAGTAAGATTATGAGATAATTGATCGAAATGTGGAACATTGAAATCACCAATAATAAAACATTTTGTCAGGAACATAAGATTCTAGTAGATCAAGGAAAGCTTCAAAATTCTCAGTAGATACATCAGGTGGAACGTAAACGGTCAATATTAATATGCTTGAATTCTTGAGGATACACTTGCAGCCAACAATATCAATCATTGGAAGCGATTCACAAATAAAGTTCAATTTCAAAAGTTCACAAGTAATATATTTTTTAACTGCAAGAAGTACACCACCACCACGATATTTATTGTTGATACCATAAGTTATCACATCTGAAACATTCAGAGTTGTGAACATCGTTCCTAAGCCATGTTTCAGAAAAAGCGACGAAATCATAATCAAGATAACTAGATGCGAGCAGGCAGTCAGAAATTTTAGTGTTGAGTCCACGAACATTTGATAGTAACATGTAAAGACATTACTATCTGTGGGCGTAATTAGTTTAAAGAAACAATTCGAGGAACGCCATTAATGTATTTAATTTTAAGATTAACTTCACCTTTTTCTCGCGTTCAAGTAGCTGAGCTTTCAGTCTTTGATAATAAAGTTGTTGCCTTGGTGTCCGATCTTCAGTGATAATCAATTCTTGAAGGGCATTATCCTTAATTTTCTTGCAGTTAAACAAAATCTCTTTGGTAAGTTATTATCCTTGAAGATAATTTTAAGCGGTCTTGGCTTAGTCCTTTTCGAATCATATTTACCCAATCTTAATAGTTCGAAGCTCGACGAACACAAGGTACTCCTAATGAAGCTTCAAATATATTGTTAATCATATTTGTATCAACACTTTTATCATAATTGTTTACGTCATTAAGAGGCTCTTTGGCATTATATATTATGATATTATATGAACGTTTATTGCGTTCAGAAGTCTCTTGAACTAATGCTTCAAATTGTTTATCATCCAGAATATTATTGTTGCAAGACCTTTGATCTTTTAGTGCAGCAATTTCTCGTTGTAGCTGCATTAAACATACTCTTGATATCATTAAGGTCATTACCGAGATTAGCACATGAATTGCAATTCCACATTATTCCTTTTTTTGATGATATTGCTCGAACATCAGCCAAGCTCAAGTTCACGCATGAATACTTAAAC